TCTTGATATGTGTAGATTACATTTTAAGACGTTTATCAAAATTTTCAATAATCACCAAAAATTCATGATTGCTCAATTTTGTAAAATAGAATCCCGAGGGCTTTGCGAAAGGGGAAGAGTGTCAGCGTTGCAAGAACAGACGGTTGCAGTGTTTTGCGAAAGGGATGCCCGCAGGGTTGGCCGGCTACTACTATTGTTACCTCCGGCGCGTGCACTTTGTCGATCAACCCTGCAAGAATTACTGTTCAAGCCCACGGTAGGTGACGTTAGCGTTGAACGATTATTGGGCGACATGGTGAGCGCCCTCAGACCGACATAACGTGACTTATCGACGTGTCCTGCTCGATTAGTAAGCGTTGTCCAAAACAAAAACAAGCCGTTCGTTCGAAATCCGTAATTGCAATCACAGACGACATACTCGATAGATCAATATTCTAATATACTTACGTGTAAGATGCATAGCTTGTTACGTGACAGAACTCTAAATAGCAAAACCATTACCGTGCTTAAAAGTCAAAACAAATACAGAAAAACATCGTTTGTTAACGATTTATATTTCAATATTGAACATTTTACCAGCAAAAATCAGTCGATGGACAGTATATTCATTTATTTAGAATGGATAGTATATTATGATGTACTAATTCGTTTGTTAACGATTTATATTTCAACACTGGTACATTTTATCTGCAAAAATCAGTCGATGGAGAGTATGTTCAATTATTTAGAATGGATAGTATATTATGATGTACTAATTCGTTTGTTAACGATTTATATTTCAACACTGGTACATTTTATCTGCAAAAATCAGTCGATGGAGAGTATGTTCAATTATTTAGAATGGATAGTATATTATGATGTACTAATTCGTTTGTTAACGATTTATATTTCAACACTGGTACATTTTATCTGCAAAAATCAGTCGATGGAGAGTATGTTCAATTATTTAGAATGGATAGTATATTATGATGTACTAATTCGTTTGTTAACGATTTATATTTCAATATTGGTACACATTCTATCTGCAAAAATCAATCGATGGGAAAAGTATATTTAATTATTTAGAATGGATAGTATATTATGATATACTAATTCAGGAGTTACCAGTCTGAAAAAGATCACCACTCATGGACCATAAAACACTATCACCACATAGCGGCGAACGCCCGAACTAATTCTCCTATATGTACGAAAAGAGTCGCCGAAAAACAATAATTATTGCAAACTTAGAGCATGAAAAAAAGGTCTGTGGCACAGGATTGTTTAGAAGTATATAAAAAATATATTATATAAATATCATATATCATAGTATATCATATAAAAAAACACAGATGACAATAATATAAATAATCGTACCTTGGAGATTGATTGATTATCATGTTAATTAATTATCTTATGCGCTGCCGTCTCTTTCTTTCACATAATTTCGATATCGTAAATTTTTCTGAACAGTTCTGTGCTGTCGAATAACATTTTTGTACCATAATTATATTATAATTAATGTTTTACGATGAACTTCGTTGTGCATATCCGGGCGATGGTGGCGCTTCTCGTGGAGCAAAAGTGAAGCTTAATTCGAGATCCATACAGCGCCAATTGGGGCAATGACAAAACGCTGAAACCGTTAACCATAATCGTCTGTAGGTAATTTTGTTAACAGTTTGAGCATTTTGCCACTACTCAAATTGGCTCTGTACAGACTTCGAATGGAGGTTCAATGTTTTCCCAGAAGAGGCGCCACTATCTGCCTCTTTTGCACAATGAAGAGTCGTCGAAAAACATTAATTATGACAAAATTGCAGCATAAAAAAATGAACCGAAGGCACACAACTACTCAATTGAATGTACTACGTCGAAATCGTACAAAAACAAATGACAGTATTGCGAAACACAATTAACTGCTTTTAAACGTTTGATTCACTATTACGTTAATTACTTACATTTTGTGATGTTGACAACCGTTTTCTTCGCGCGATATCGGCGCAGTAGATTCTTCTGAACGGCTCTATGCCTTCGGTTAACTATTTTGTACCCTAATTATGTTGCAATTAATGTTTTTCGACGACCTTGTATTGTGATACGTGGGAGATTTAGTTCCAGCGTTGACCGCTATGTGGTGATAGTGTTTCGATACCCGTCGGAGGTCATTTTTGAGAAATTTATATAATAATCTGTCCTCGATATTAGCAATAACAAGCAAACTTCTTTTGCATGATATAGACGCAGAAGAATGTTCCCTGAACATTTCCGTACCCGCAGAATATTCATGTACCCTCTAAATAACTATATTTTTATCAATAGTTTAAATATGTAGATTCTTACACCAAGAACTGGTTTTTGTGGAAACTTAAGTAACAAAAAATTGTTAGTAGCTATGGTTATAGCAATCTATGTTACAGATCTGGTGTATAAAACCATTAGGATTGTTTTGACCAGTATAAATAATTTTGATACTAATTTTAACGTTCAAATCAAACGCAGTTGTCAAATTTGCTAACTTTAAATTTAGAATTTTAATTTTTCCTGGTAAAGATCGTAACATGAAGGGTATGTAATTCGTATAATAGAAATTTTGTCTAAATCCTGGATCTATTATATCGTCTGTGATTAGAATTCCTTGTCGACCGGAACAATAGCTCGTTCTTTATTATTTACACAAGTCTACGAACAGTATGTATCTACGATTACGACATGTATCCTGGTTCTGTTCTGTGGGACATTGTTTCGAGAGAGTAGCAAAGCGATGATGAATCGCAGACTGCATTATGTCAGTAAGGAAAATTCTTTACGAACACGAGATCTGTTAATATGCTAGATATATTTGCATTAATGTTACTACCTACTAAATCTAGTCAATTGTTTACTGTACGCACTGTATGTAGAGCTATTAGTTTAAAATAAATACTCAAGTATTATATAATATAAAGCGCAACGTAATTGTGTTACGTCGAACCCAAATTGTACAATCTATTACCGAAACTGTAGAACAAATAAAAATATTTCGTTTCCTCATACATTACAATTGCAGTTTCTTACCATATCGTATCTTGTTCCTATTTTACGACAGAATGCGTGTGGTATCAAACGATCGATAGATTTAACATTTCTAAATGAATCGAGACAAATATTTCTACATATGAGCCATTTATGTTACTCGAAATTCTTATTATTCTTTCATGAAATGTCGATGATATACAGGATGTTCTTTTTAAGTCGAACACCTAAATCATTTCTATAGCAACTAAAAGATAGAAGAAAAGCGACGCAGATGGATTTTGAATAATTTGAAGACATGCATCTGTTAGTGACGAAAAATAGTTCCCCAAGTGATGATCGACACCAAAAAGAATTGAAAAACCTATGAATCTATGACACCTTGAAATGCTTGGTAAATTTTGTATATATGAGCCGTTTATTTTGAAGGTGGCATAAGTCACTTTACCGTAATGAAAAGTGGTGATTTATTAATGTTTGTACGAAATTAATTATACTGAGAAAAATGTCAGTATCCTGGGATAACAAATACAAGTAAATCTTCTCAAAAGTTAGCATCCATATTTTTAACCCTTAGAGCTCTATGGACGCATATATGCGTTTGGCGAAAGTCACCCGTGTAGCCTAAGGCCGCATTTATGTGTTTTCTTTAGGTCATCGGCCTGGACTAAGGGCGCATATATGCGTTTGTCGATTTTTTCAATCAATATGCAGTTATTTTCGTGTAAAATTAATACAGGGGCACTCGTTAGTAATTTGCCTTCCTTAGGTAGCGGTTGGGCAATATTAGGGTCATAAAAATGCCCGGAAATTTCCGAAACGGAAATCCCATTTTATGTCCCACTCTCTAACCAATTAGATTTCAAAATAATTACCTGCACTATCACCTTCTCGCGACTCAAAGCACTCAAAACGACTCAGTCAGCATAACTTCACGGTCTCGCTCGCGTCAACAACGATAGTGCGGAATATAACTTGTTCGATTTTTTTTTTTTATTCGTGACACCCTACAAAATGTCAAGTCTTGAGGAATATTTCACAAGGGACGACAGTGAAATAGAATATAGTGAATCACTATCATCAGACATTGAATCAGAAGATTAATTATTTAACCTCCTGCAAAAGAATCACTATAATTTATTACTGTTTGCGCCTTGAATAGTCGCTTCAGTGTGGCAAAAAAGTATTCCGCCCTCAGCGATGGTCAGCGATAGCCGCGCTCCGTCCCTACGAACCGTTTCGGCCAGAAGTATTCAGAGCTCAAAAGGTTAAACGTGTTAAAACGCAAACCCTTAAATATATCGACTTAAGAACAAAGTGACTTATGCCACTTTCAAAATAAACGGCTCACATACGATTGGATGTTAGGATAATTGCTTGGGTAGAGTGATAGTTTAACCTTGTAAGCGGTGTAGACCAAATTTTTATACTTTGCACACGTTTCAGATAATCGCATCGAGTACAGTTTGTTTCAGCAAGGTCGTCTAGAATTGTTACAAAATGTCTGACATTTGTTCCACGACTATTTGAATTGGAACAGCAAGAATGAATGTTGTCGTTTCTCCTATCATAACTCGCCATTCATAGCTAAGAAGCTGAATGTTTTCACTAATTTTCGTAAGATACTCGCAGCTAGACTGCGGATTTTTATGCAAAATCATCGCTTTTCATTACGGTAAAGTGACTTATGCCACTAACAAAATAAACGGCTCATATATTTACACTCAATTTTCCTCGCGGTATCGTGCCATTATTATTTTAGTAAACCTTCCCGAAAAATTTTTGGTACGTACCTTTCGCGTCGAAAAATAAAAATCACTTACCAGTTACGTTGAGAACGTTCACCCTCGGT